CATTAACGAAATGAGTTTTAGAGGGCCGAAATTTGTCTTCATCCCTTACAGGTTATTTCGGTTTGTTCTAACACAGTGCAATCCATAAAATTCTATGACACTTGATAAGAGATGTTTTAAAATAGAGCGAAAGTTGTAAAATAATAGGAATTCAAAACGCCAAAATAATTTAATTTTCAATAACTGTACTCATTTTCACTTAAGTGACACGAAAATTGTTGACTAATAGTTAAGAATAAAAGATAAATATGATTATATATCATTCTATTGTATTTCAATCATTTTATTGCAGTATAAAATACAGGTATGGACCAAGTAGGGGCAGACTCCTGGAAGGTTCAAAATGGGGTAGAACTTATACAGTTTCGTACAGGAGTAGGGCAGATACCGAAGGTTTGACGGCTACGTGTATGATAACACTTAAAGTCAAAGGTTTGCAGTAATGTTTACTATCATATATTACACTCACAGATTATTTACATTTAGACAATAATTAAAAGTGTTCATGGTAGATATTTGTAATGCTTTTTGAGATGATATGGTAACAGTTCTTATATATTTCGATCTCTTCTGAAATAACATGTGTCTGTTAATTATCTTATTCAGTGATATTCTGCCCTACTCCGAAGGCGCCTAAATATGGTACAGTCAATTGTTCTGGAACCCATTATGGTCATACCTGTAATTTTTTCTGTCCTATCGGACACACCCCAACAGTAACAAGTATGACATGTCAATTGAATGGTTATTGGACACATGGAGGGTCATCTGAATGCCAAGGTATCAATAGAAATTAAGTAAAAGATTTAATATCATATACTTGTTTGATAATTATTAACAATACCATTCTGTTTGCTGCAGGAGTAAGGATACTAAAAAGAAAAATTAAATGAAAGAAATGAAAACAGACTTGAAAAAATAAACATTTCTTATCAGTTTGAAGTAACCCTGAAGTGTATTTTTTTAAACAAATATTAAGGAGGAATGTCCACGTTCAAAGACCATGTAATTAGTCACTATTGTCAATGAACATGTTACACCTTCATATTTCAGTGTGTGTGTGTGTGTGTGTGTGTGTGTGTGTGTGTGTGCGTGCGTGCGTGCGTGCGTGCGTGCGTGCGTGCGTGTGTGTGTACATGCGTTCGTGCGTGCGTGTGTATGGGTATGTGTGTGTGCGTCCGTGTGCGTGTGAACTATACATGTTTGTTATCATATTATATATTTATATTATAGCTATCACCTTTTTAAAGATTTGTAAAGAAATGAAAAGAGAAATTTCCATAAGGGAAAGTTACGTTCATTGAATTCTGTCTCTTATAATATCTAGTCAAACAGAATCATTATAAGAGTACTGATAGGCTTCTGTAAAAAAGGACCGGACAGAACATAAAAGTTCAAAAAATTGGTGATTGTTTGATATTGCAGTTTGTATATTACAGTTAACACTTGTCCTCAAACGTTCCCTACAATAGAACATGGATATTATTCCTGCAGTAAATTCACTATAGGAACGTCATGTAATCCAACTTGTGATCCGGGATACTCAGTCTTTAGACTTTTTCCTATAGTCTGTAAACTTGACGGGCAATGGTCTCTCCCTGTGGATACAATATGTAAAGGTATGTTGTTTGTTTGGGTACAGTATATGTCATATGGTGACGTTCCAGCTTTTCTTGTGGAGAAAGACCTCAGGTGCCCTTCCGTGCATTATTTCAGACATGAACGGGCACCGGAGTAGAACCACCGACGTTCCGAAAGCTAGCCCCACAGCAGTGAGGGTGCAAGTGGTTTGAAGTCAACGACCTTAACCACTCGGCCAAGGACGCCAAAATGTAAAGGTATCTAATACTTCATTTGTAACAATATTGTTGAATCGTAAATGATTCTAGAGGTATGCTTAATTGCTTAAATGAGCAAGACTAGAAACACTCTTTTAAAGGCGGACACTTTTGAGGATACAATATATGGTGGATACACATGTTGCGGAGCGGTCAATCATGTTGCAATTTCATGGAAATTAATTTAATCATCACTTTAATTAATTGAACTCAAATAGAAAAGTAAAAACGATCTTTTACAATAATTACTAATTTTATGTAAAGAGAATGGCACTTAACATTTTTAGTGATCAGTTCTAGGATAACACGTTTCATTATCAACGTCTATCAATTTCTGTCAACTTTGTGTTATTTTACTTAAAAATATAAAATGATAGACATTTCTTTCGTCAGATACAAACATGATTTTGTATATGACTTATGCAAATTCACAATATAAAACCTAAATTTGAGAATGGTCTAATGAACTGTTTTAGAAACATGAAAACAAACGTTTCTGTTATGAACAGTAATGGTATTAAACAATGGTGACCATAATAATATAAAAATGCAATAATCCTTTGATATAAATACAATATGCGAACATTTTATAATTTTCAAATAGCATTCCAACGTACTTTAATCCGATTAAGCAAGTTTGCCCTGGTTTCTTCTTTATTTAACATGTCAACATTACGGACTGCTTCGTAGTTAATTTGCTATATTCATTATTTATGTTAATTTAAAATTATCATTGAAAAAAATATAACATTATCTTTTAAGAGGGTACATTAATTTATCAAACATTAATACATTAAACTTTCAGTCACACATAATTCATGTATAATCATTTTATTTATCCAGATTCCGAGCCACCTATAATATTGAATTGTCCATCAAATATAACGATGACTGCTGAAAAAGGAAAAACTTCAGCAATCGTTACGTGGCACGTACCATCTGCTTTTGACAAACAGGATAATTCTAGCGTTACAGTGAACCAAACTGCTGGTTCTATTACGCCTGGTTCTCGGATTGAAGGCGGTGTTGTTCATATTCTGAAATACAACGCTTTCGATAGTGCTCTAAACCCTTCAGAAGAATGTTTATTTTACGTGCAAGTGAAAAGTAAGAATTGACAATACTTACCAAGTCATAATTGCAATCATAATTAATTAATTGATAATTAAAAACTAGTCATGTCCATGTCAGAGAAAAATGAGATTTAATATTCATTTTTACAATGATTTGTGATGATTACGATGTTACGCTATCAACAAAACTTTGCATTTGTTTGTTTGTTGTCGTTGTTTCTTTTTTTTCTTTTTTTTTCATTAGACATGAACATATGTCTTTTATTTTAGTTACCAAATGTTCCCGCATTTCTGCACCAAGTAATGGTCATTACAAGTGTGACAAAGGTTTCATTTATGGTAGTCAGTGTAATTACACATGTTACGAAGGATATCTGTTACAAGGAGCGTCTTCGTCGACATGTGACCAGAACGGCGACTGGAATTCATCTACACCAATCTGTAAAGGTAAATTTGTTTCAAAGTAAAATTTCATGCTGTCCGTTTAGCAAACCACGTAGCCATTTTCCTGCAAAACAAAGAACTACTTATATTTCAATGATAATCACAACTTTATGCAGAAAGCCTCCAGAAGATAACAGAAAAGCTACTTATATCCTAAAATACCTCTTCAAAAATATTATTTCATGGAAGGAAATCGAGGTGACATCTCAAAATGTTCGTTTTTCCTCCAACAGAATATACTTTCTCTCATTATATTACGAAATATTTTCATCTGGGTTTTTCTAGCACGACGTAAGTAATGGTAAGGACAATATCGCGACTTGTCATTCGGAATGCACGGAATCCGGGATCGTATCAAACATAGAGGGTAACGAATAAATTGCTTTGGTTTTGACATTTTTAGTAACTTGTGGCAATACAAATTATAATCAATATCTGTATCTTATACGTTTACAATGACCAATATAACAATAATAACCTTATCACCCCGACGTACAGAATCCGTAGATTTTTTCGAACCACTGTTGTATCACGTGACCGTGTGTGAATTAATCACGTGACCGTGTTTGAATTAATAATATCTCCTATTTATATTGGCGACTACTTTAGTAACGCGAAGAAACGCGGTATACTGACGCTTTTTGTCAACATTTTCTTTTATAAAGTTAAGTCAATTATAAATTTGTGCTCTTGATTTTCATATGTGTATTTGTCATCTAAATCTATTAGTGTTGTTTTATTTACTATGAATCTTTCGATCGAACGAAATATTGATCAAGCATTTCCTTTCCGTTCCCTCAAAGTCCGATTTTAACTTTTGCCTCCTTTCCCTAGTCCATCGGGGTCCTCTGTACTCCCACCCTAGTTCTCCTTCTGGGTAATTTCTCCGGGAGTCCTGTGGCTTGTTTGTGTTTGATGCTGCGTTCTGTAATGGTCGCCTTTCAGTGTTGTTATTTCTTCTCATTGATTACAGCAGTTATCGTAGTTTTCATTGAACGCCACCTTTCCTTGTTGATCTTGTTTATCATATTCAATATCCCACATGTACAGACTAAGTCAAAATGAGTCTGCAATTTGCATGTAATTTTGTTGTGATTAATGCTTCCGAGGCCGAGAACCTTTTTTGTAAGGTTTCACTAAAAACTGTTTCTATAATTTATGTACAACTTTGAATTGATGTAAACGTGTACAACTTATAACTAGCATTGCCAAATTAGTCGGTGTTTAATATTGAATTATATTCATTCCTTATCTAATCTTTTCAGCTTTGAATTTGATAATTTGATAATCAGATGGCATGCTTTCACTACATTTGAAATTGTATTTGGAAAGTAACATACTTTAAGTGAATGAGTAAATGACATTACATCCCGTCACATGTTAACTTTCAACTTGTAAGCTTTACAAAAATATAGAAGTCATTTTATTCAGAAAATGTAGAGCCATGATTTAACAATAAAATTTAAACTTTAATTGTAATTCTTATTAAATACTTGTGTTGCGATATACTTAATGCCTACAAAAATCTTGTATGATTTGATTTAGAGGTTGAATGTTTACCACCAGAAGAGTATGGAATCAGTACATCTAATGGTTACTTTATTTGCCCGTCACCAATAAAGTACCAGTCAGTGTGTTATGCAATTTGTGACAGTGGATTCAAACTCGCTCAATACACGTCAGCGATATGCAAAGTTGACTCAAATAATACTCCTTTCCTAAGTTTGAGTTTACAACCAGTTTGCTTAGGTAAGATTGTTAATTAAGTATTAGTATAATTATCATCAAGTGTCGACTCAGGAAAACCATGCAAGGTTTCCTAAACTTATTTTCGATCATAAATTTTTATCATTATTGGCAAACAAAGTTATCTATCAAGTGTTTTTTTACAATGTTAAGGGCATGTCTATATGCACATTGTAGCAAATTTTAAGATTTATTTTTGTATTCAGAGAACAATATACCTAATTATTTGTTTTAGACATCGATCCACCAACTTTTGATAATTGTCAAGGAACAAAAGTTCTTACATTTCCTGCAGCAAAAGGAAAGACAACTGCAGTTATACAGTATGATTTCCCAACAGCCTCTGATAATGTAGATCCTTCTCCTGAAGTTATAAAGATACAAGGACCAGATAGCGGAGACACCGTGGACGCAAATGATATAGAATTTGTTGAGTTTAAAGCAATGGATGATGTTGAGAACGTCTCACCACTGTGTTTATATGTCCTTCAAGTGGATGGTAAATTATTGAGGCGAATACTGGCTCAATTTTAAGAAAGAAAATTATATTGTCTGATTTTAAAATCTACCCTTAAGAGTTTAATAAGCCTTAAGGATATTGTGTAATTTTGCAATAATGTTTAAAGGTTTTAAGGTTTCAGTCATGAATTCAAATATATTTGAATGTATTTTTGTTTATATATTGTTTTATATTTTTGTTTATACTGTTATTTTATTGCATTTTAATCACGGAACACAGCCGCAATAATACACAATCTCACAGGACCACTTGAAACGCACTTATTAATGCAACATTGCTGTCTTAACTGTCATTATTATTCAATACATATATGTAAAAGGTACGATGGTCCAATAAGTTAGATCTATGCCTCTTCTTTATCAAGGGTTCGTCGATTCGAGTCATACCGGTGTAAATATTTGCTAATCAATCTTATTTGAAATATTGCTACTTTGGAGACAAAATTCAACGTTTTTGCTACAATCAATTCATTTGAAGTAAACATAGCGGTTTTTGAATTGTAGGCAAATCATTGACACAATTTATCGTATCAAAAAACTAGGGCTTAAACCTACATTGCAATGATTTGGAATCATAGATATTCTATTGGACGATCCCATTATGATTTACATTGCTTATCATTTTATGTTTCATTTTTACTACAGTTATTGAATGTCCTGCCTACATTCCACCAGAAAATGCAGAGGTATCCTGTACATCAGACTATATATATGGTAGTATTTGTACATTAACTTGTAAAATAGGTTATGAAAGTCAGAGCTCTGCGGTTGTTCAATGTTTAGAAGATGGGTCATGGAATGCCACGAACTTCGAATGTTCAAGTAAGACCCTTTTGTTTTCAGGAGTTGCTTTCTCATATAATCATTAATTTATTTATTCTTTCATTTTGACAAAACAGAAATTCTAAATACTATACGGTTGATATACACAAGCATTAAACATATTCCATTGTTCTAAATTCAAACTTTCATCATTTTCATGCCTGCATATAGAATTCTGCTTACGCCGGTACTAATTTGTAGGTTACAATTTCTCTCACTGTCCATGAACAGGCTCAACCAAACAGAAGCTTTGGGCATTTTAAGGTTACATATTTTAATACTTTTTAATACAGCATACATTTTTGTAGTAATCACAGTAAGAATTTCAACATTATAGTAATCATAATTCATTATTGCTCAAAAACCTGTTTTATATCTTATTACAGAGGTTCTATGCCCAACGTTGCCAACACCTCCAGATAATGGGGTTTACTCTTGTGCAGCAAACACCTTTCCCTATGGCACAATTTGTCAAGCAAATTGTAATGAAGGTTTTGCATTATCACAAATGTCTTTCGCACGATGCATGTTTGATGGGACTTGGGAAATATCTACAACCCCTAACTGCATAGGTATCAGATGTATATATATATCGTTTTATCAAAATACAGATAAATGATTATCAAGTTTTTTTATAAATATTTTAACCGAAAAACCTGTAACGTAGAACATGCTTTAATTGCAATAATTATTGCTTATGATATAAAATATCATCTGTACATTCATTTACAGATGCGGAACCACCAGTGATTACAGCTTGTCCCTCTGAGATAAAGATTAATGCAGAGAGGGGATTAGAAAGTGCTATTGTAACTTGGACTGTGCCATTAGCTAGTGATAACTTTGATAACAGTCCATCAGTAATGAGAGTGTATGGACCTAAATCCGGTGAACGTATTGAAGATAGCGCGATAGTAAAATATCAGGCAACAGATTCTGCAGGCAACCCATCTGATATTTGCACAATATATATCACCGTTACAGGTAAATTGATACAACTTATAAATATATAGTTGCAGTTTTATTGTTAATCAATTGGTCTCTCTCTCTCTCTCTCTCTCTCTCCCCCTCTCCCCCTCTTTCTCTCTCTCTCTCTCTCTCTCTCTCTCTCAAATTTTGTGTCAAATTTTGTATTTGTAATTTGCATTGAAAATGCACATTTGGAGCATGAGATTCAGAAAAAAATTTACCCCCCCCCCCCCCCAATTTTACAAAAAATTTTTGCAGTCATCAAGTACTTCACCATACGGGCCCGATGAGGAAAAGTCATGTGACCTAGGAAATTTAGGGGAGCGAATGCAGAAAACACGTGTGATGGGGGTTAGACGTTCTTTTCCATCTACGACTGTCTTGAGGAAGAGGGGTTTTGTCATGGGGGCCCAAACCCGCCATCATGTTCTCGTAAGTAAACCCTTTGATTATTATTAGTGTCTTTTATTCTCAGAAAGTCGAGTATATGTAAAGACAGTTTCATTTAACCTGCTGTGCTTTTAATATCAAAATGACATTATTATGTAAGTTAAGATGATTGACATTTAAATGTAAAAAATTGATCATTGGTAATGTCCGGACAAAAGTGATGCCTCAGAAGCATTAAAATCAGCAAAATTACATGAAAATTGTAGGGTCGTTTGTTTTTGCTGTTTCTTTTTGCTGGGTCGTGTGGGTGTTGTGTTCATTGAACGCCGCCTTTCCTTGTTGATCTTGTTTATCATATTTGATTGAGTGTGTACATTAGGGATAAATAAGACACTGATTAAAAATTGAAATAGTGCAACGTCCCTCACGCCCCCTAGCACCCACTTGAGGTTATCAATTTTCAACGCTTAAAGGTACATTATCAATTCAATAATTCAATGAAAAATGTTACAACACTAAAGTGAAGTACGAAACAACTTTTTACGGATGTCACACGGAACTTGACACCTGCTGTTGTGATGTATAAATATCTGAAAAAAGTGATCCCTCGAAATAATGAGGGATAACGAAGAAGGGCAATATTCTTCACGCCCCCTAGCATCGGCTTGACCGGTACTCATTTTCAACATTTAAAATTGCTGGGATCAATGAACGGGAAGGACCATTAAAATAAAACACTGACTTAAATCAAGTACTTTTATGTGCTTGATGTAAATTAATTTGCTTTAATTCCTTAAATAGTTATACCTACAAATGTTTAGATAAAGAGACAGTATTTGTACACGTTATACACATTTTTGTTTCAAATTCATTATTTAATATTTAACATTGAATGTGTAATTTAGTTTAAATCATTTCAATACACTTTTGTCGTATATTATTGTTTTTAATATTTAAGTATTGGTTTTACAGCAATTACCTGTGGTCCACCTCAAAATGTGTTATATGGAACATTTGCTTGCATCGATATTATGTATAGGTATGAAAGTTTATGCATACTTGAATGTGCCAGTGGATATTCAACTGATAGTGCTGTATATGCAATATGTCAATCAAGTGGCGAATGGCATTTCTCTTCAAATAACAGTTGTAAAGGTAATATTTGAAAGCAACTTTATTTATACATGTCGATTAACAGTCTACATTTCATATTATATGCATCTTTGTGTCTCAATTAAAGATGCAAGTCTCCAGATGAGCCACGATAGTTCACGAAAATCTAACTTTAGAAAAACATATAATAAACTGTTACAATTCATGAAATGATTTACATGTTTTATGCAATCAATGACTAATTTTTGCTGTATCTGTCTCCACTTATCACCATCTAATTCTAACTCATTAACAGCTGCTTTTGCAAATTATGACCTGTTGTGAATTTTTTGTAATGGTCGCAGAATATATGTGTAAATTCACTTCTTTGTTAACAAGTCAATATTTTACTCTTTAATAACTTTTTTAAAAAATCATTAATATGAGCATACATCTGGAGACTTGCAGCTTATAAATAAAGACATACCGTGATGTATGATATATATTTACAAGTTACTTTTGTAAGTGTAATCATAACCATTTTATCACATATTACAGATATTGTTCCACCAACCATACTTAACTGCAAGACCTACCAGACATTTTACACTGATCGTGGTTTGGATACTGCACAAGTAATATGGATTATTCCGACTGCAATTGACAACATAGACAACCCTAGTGACATCATCATTGAACAGATATCAGGTCCTGCAATAGGCTCTAATATCAACATAGGCACGACAGTGGTTGACTATAGAGCTGTTGATACGTCTGGAAATCCATCAATCGTGACATGCTCTATTACGATTAATGTTGAAGGTAAACCAATTGTTATAATTATTTTGAACCAAAATCTTGTCGTTACCCAATTTATTTTTTAATGTTATTGGAACCAATATCACCTGGAATAGAATGACATGAAGAAGCAATCTGTTTATTATTATTTTGCGCCGCGCCAAATTGTAATATTTGCCATTTGAATGATATTTTTATGATACAAGTTCTTATTAATTAATCGTTTATTAAGTAATTGTCAATGTTATTGCTTGAAAATTATTTTATCAAGTTTCAATTCCGACAAGTTATTTCATGTAGCTTTTTATATTTGTGGAATTTTTATAGTATAATGTACATCACATTTTAAACAAAAGATAATTGAATTTCTTTAGGTTTTTGCATAATATGCCTTATTAGATTGTTATGGAATTGATGATTTTCATGAACTCAATCTTTTTAACCGTTTACAAATATCTTTTATCTTTCAGCTGTTTATTGTAATCACCCGAAAATTTATTTTGATGACGTGAACTTGGAATACACGTGTACATCCTTTAACTGGGGCGATACAGTAGCTTGGCATGCCCTTAAAAGATTCATTTAAATTTAGAAGGACCTGATTGAATAACCTGTGAGGCGACTTTCTCAGGTTCTTTACCAAGTAACAACTTGGGAATATGAGGGTAATGTTGTACCATTCTGTGAAGGTGAGTCATGTGCCGAGTCACTCTATACAAATTATACTAGATATTAATCATTATTATGTATATATTAATATAAGTCATATATTAAGTAAGGTTTAATAATAGTTTTATACATTTTGCTGTAATACAGTATAATGTCACGAATTGTAGAAAACACTGGAAATACTAAATGTCAATGTACGAGGAGCCCCTATTTGTCAAATAGAGACAGGTCTAAATAAAGAAATAAATTGCGATATATTACTTTTCATCAAAACTTAAAAAAGCTAGAAAGGGGAAGAACCTTAAGTGCATTCAGAACAAGAACATAAAATCGCAGACTCGGTTTTATCTAATTTTTAATGAGAGACAATAGAAGGCGCAACATATTTATGTCATGTTAAAATAATATAGGTCTTTAGATTTTCTAAACTAATTCTTTCATAACATATTTACCGATTACGATATAATGTTTTGTTTACGTCCTTGTGTAAGCCATTCTACAGTTTACAACTGATCTCTTAGGATTAACAAAATTGTATAATTATATGAAAATGACTATCTTATATTTGTATTATGAAATGTTACTTTTTATTTCCGAGTTACTGATTTCTGCCTACGAGTTAATAATACACACCACCGACGGTCTTCTTGCCGGTTTATAGAATTAATATTGCCGATAAGTAAACACACAAATATTGAACAAACTGAAGCCATAAGTTGATAAGGTTCTAAGTATTGTGCGCTTTGTCTTATTTCATACTACACATTGCTATTAAAATGAAAAGAGGTCTAAGAACGAAAAAGATATGTGAATGGATTTTATCAACGTATAAAGTAAAATGTATTTAACATTTATAGCTTGTATTGTGCGCGTTTAATAGAATCTTCTTAGTATGTATACGCCTCTTAATTTTAGTGGTCCGAAAAAAATAATCTTATCCACTATACTTTCTGACGTCATCCTGAATATTGTATTATTGAAATTTATTAAACCATTTATGTAAAGTAATTCAGCAATGTTTTTATATTATGATATTTTTTATAGCCAAAGTATGTCCTCTGAATCTAACAATTCCACAAAATGGCTTGCTGTCGTACACAAATGATAATCAACCGGTTGTGTTCGTTTTATGTAACGAAAACTATGATTTGCCGTATGAATTTAATGGACTTATCCTGTGCCTTGATTCTGGACTATGGAGTACCGACGAAGTTCCAGATTGCACAAGTATGTAAAACTTAACGTTCAATGTTTATCGCCTCTAAATTTATTGCAAGTATTTAACAGCTTTGAGTCTTAACATATAAGTTTATATAAATATACTTAAACTTCCTAAAACTGTTTGCATGTGTTTTAATTTGCATTCTTGATTTTTATAATAACATTTGATTGTCGTCTTTTTCCCCCAGGTACTCGTCGTCCAGGAATCAACATTTTGCCTGTTTCGTTTTACTACTCTGTAGATTGTAACGCACAGTCTGAGACATCTATTAATGCGATACAAGACCAAGTTTTCATTCTTCTAGAGGATTACATTGGAACTGCCCTTGCACCTGATTGTCTTGCTGGTTCAACGTGTACTTACGATGATCTTGTAGTTCAATGTGGTTCCACTAGCAAGAGAAAGAAAAAAGATATTCATGATGATAATTATCGTTTTAAAAGAGAAGTGTCCGAACTATTCGTCAATTTTTCATTGATTGTCACCGGATCAGTTACAAATTGGGATGAACTATTGATGTATGAGGACTTTCTATTTCAAATGTCTGATCAGCTTGAAAATGATGTATCTGTCGGAGTATTTGACTTGAATGAACTTCAGGTTGTCCGAAATTCTTTTTTCAGGGAGCAGTTTTCTAGTACTAAATGTGAGGGAAGCGGTCAAGTACAATCTGCTTTTCAATGCAGTAAGATATGAAATCAATGTTCTTTGTTTAATTGCTTTTTATCAAGGCTTAAACTGATTTATACGTTGTTACATTACAATGTATTTTTACAGTGGGAATACAGTTTCAATATTCCATAAATAAATTTGAATTTGAATCTTGTAAATCAGTTAATTATTATAATGTGTTACTTTCAAATATTGAAAGCAAAATGCAACTGGTTTCTTTTTAGAAATTTCATTAAAACAATTAAGAATTAGAAAAAGTTCCCTTTAAGATAACATTTATCTGTGCCAGGTATTTTATTACATATTTTCATTCCCATCATTTCAACTTTTTGCAGCATTGTTAACTATTCTAACTACATCAGTCTTCTAAAAGTTCAAATAGTTTAAACTTATACTATTAAATAACCTACTAAAATATTTATTAAAAGTATATTTCATCTATCATTAGAAACATGTGCTGCCGGTATGTTTCTTGAAGATGATGACGGAGTAAAAAATTGTAGGAAGTGTCCAATTGGCACTTATATGGAAAATGACGGTGCTTCATCATGCATATCATGTCCTCCCGGCACAAGTACAAATAAAACTGGATCTAAATCAGCTGATATGTGTGTGGGTATGTCAAAGATTCATATATTAGTGAATTCAATAGATGAATGAAGACTCTTTCTATATTATAAGACATATGCACATATGACGAACGATGAATGCACGTTTTTAAATACACAATATCACGTGTCAAGTGCCGTGCGGCAGCTGTAAAAAGTTGCCCGTACTTCACTTATGTTTTGTAAACTTTTCTGGTCCTTCGGGATCATTGATGCCGGCACTTTTAAATGTTAATTAAGTACCACTCAAGCCGATGCTAGGGGCGTGAGGGGTGTTGCACTTGTTCATTATCCCTCATTTACAGACTCAATCAAACCGAGTTTGCAATTCTTATGTTATTATATGTTTTGAATAATGCTTAACAAGGGATCACTTTGTTTCCAGATTTTTGACAATTACAAACCATTAATTATATTTATTGAGGAAAATTATAATTTTAAAGTGACATTTACTTAGTAATGGTAATGTTCAATATAGAATACATAATGTAGCTATATACTTTATTTTATTTTCTTTTAATAAGAACTGTGTCCCATTGGCTATTCATCGTTGACTTTGGTAAAGCCGTGTACTCCTTGTGCCATTGGCTTTTATCAGAACGGTATTGGTAAAGCTTTATGTCAAAAATGCGAGTTTGGAAAAACAACATTCAAAGTAGGATCACATAACTGCAGTCGTAAGAATCTTAACTTTAATTTGCAAAAAGCACATCTAATTTTAGAATAAATTGAACAAGTTACAGCTTATCATAGATTTTATTACACGTTTTTTATAGCAACTTTTCATAGAGCGTATTAAAAGCGTTTATTCCAAAAGATTAGAAAACGTCACACTGCCCAAATATGGAAAACCCTTGTTAACACTCTATAGGATTGATTGAACAGTTTACATTGTAATTTTACTTTTACTTTTGTATTTTGGAATATATGTACTTTATTATAATTAAATCAGTAAATTTAAAGAATATATTTATTAATAAGTGATGAACAGCATTGTTTATTTGACTTCAAACTTTTTAATATGCGAAAAATTACAATTATTATTTCCGTAATTTCAATGTTAATTTACGTAGATTAGGACTTTTATTGTTGTAGCGTATGACATTGTTCTCAGTTCACAAAGTTCAGAAGTAATAGCATCAGCATTAAACACAGCGGATGTCATGGATGAAATGACTGTACTATTTTGGTTATTCAGAAGAAGTGGGTCTGATTTTAGTTTACATTTTGAGAACAACGTTGTAATTGAAGTTTCTGGACAGAGCTTCATCATCTATTGGTAGGTCTGAATTTGGAACATTTGCATTTGGCTTGAATAAGGAAAATTTTTGTCTTTTAGTTTTGATTGTCTTGTAACATTAACATATGAAACTGCAATTTGTTTGCTAGTTAAACATAATTTGTATCATAGTTTGGGTACCTTTCTGTTGAAAAAGTGTCAGATTTAAATCGTATACATATACATGCACAGTGCGGTAACTGGAGTGCGGGTATTAGTTACCCGCACTCCAGATAATGCCCGTGGATTGGTTCATTTTTGCCGGGATTTACATATTGTGCCGGCAGAGAAAGGGAAAGGGGCAAAACTATCATATTCAAATGCTCGTTCATTGGTTAATTTTTTCTGGGGTTTCATATTATGACAACAGGGAACGTGTTGTCATGTTTGACTATGATACAAAAGAGAAAGAACACCAAAACACTCGGCAATCTGATTTATACTCGGGGGCTACGCCCCCTCGTACAAATCAGATAGCCTCGTGTTTCGGTGCTCTTTCTATTACTAAATTCATTTGTTTACAATAGCAATGATTTATAACTTGTCTTTCTATTTAAAAAAGCATATGAAAAACTGTTGAATGGAAGAATATATTAAACATATAATGAAAAGATATGTTTATTTTTCAAGTCAATGTCACATTTATTGTTCGAACGTCCCGTCTACATCTTCCATAGCTAATTGGAAGACTTTGGTAAAATCTTTACATTAGAAATGTTTAAAAGGTATAGATCAGCCTCGCCAGATCAAAATGTGGTTACTTATGAAGTTCGGAATATCGAGCGTCAATACGTGACCCCCTCTTTATCTCGTATCCTTTTAATGATTTTCATGAATAAGGCAAATACATGAAGCCCTCTCAAAGGTCGGATTTTTGGCCGTTGATCTTCTGTCATATAAAAATTGATTATTCTAGCTTATGTTTTTAGGAATAGTTTATCCATTATTGTACTGTTACCTGAATCCTCATTTGATATGTGGGCGCATTTTGCTGTTTCAACATCAAACACTACAGTTCATTTCTACTACAATGGTGACATGATTGATACCCAGGCGATGATCTCTCCATTAACATTACCAACAAATGCTTATCTTGAACTATTTACCAACGGAGAAAATGGTTAGTACACTTGTATCTTATTTCTTTCAAAAGATATATAAACAAAAATCTAATTTACAAGTAAATAGTGTATACCAGAGATTGATAGCGTGAAATTAATTTCGAAAATATATAATTTTAATATTGGTTTGTATCCCTTGTATGATATTCCATTCCTTTACGATCACTATATCTTCAGAAATGTTCTTGAATTCCCTGGCTGTATATAGACATGTCCTGGTAGCTGATGAGATTACAAATCATCGATCTTCATGTGGATGTGATATATCAGCAGCTGACTTTACATCGGACGATCTTGTCACTGGCAATTCTGTCATTCAGACTGAACCATCTTCTTGTGCAGGTAAACTTTAATACCTCTTTTTGTTCATAAACAGATTTAACTATACAGATTGTCCATATATAATTATTTATACACTGGCATTAATTTCTATATTTTGCTGGCGAATTTCATGCATTAAAATTAAATTAAGGAATATACAATGCACTCAGACAGTCAGTTTATGGATACTTCCTGATGTCCTACACTTGGACAAGATATTGTATACTTAATAATCATTATATACTACTGGCTCTGTTACTTATTATTATTATTCAGCTACCAATTTCTGCGCTGATGATCCATGTGGCCAACATCTGTGTACAAACACACAGTCTGGCTTTCTATGCTCGTGCTCTGGTGGATTCATGGGAACACGATGCGAATTACCACCTGACAATTGTGAAGTACATGAGTGTCAAAATGATGCAACATGTCTCAGTGGCAGTCATAACTACACGTGTTTATGCAAACCTGGATATCGTGGAGTCTTTTGTCAAACTCCACCAAGTATGAAAAATTTAATTTCTTCTTCAAAATTGTTATACTTTAAAATGCAAGAGTAGAAAGTCATGGGTATCGATTATACAAAATTAAAAAGAGATATATAAATATATTTGAATATTTTGTCAATAAAATACAGTTTACATGTAAGTATATGTAAAAGAACGCAAAACAGCATTTTTATAGTTTTTACATACTTAAAATTTAACATAGAAGCTACTTTTGAATGCATTTTCATTTTGACACGAGCAAACAAATTGATTGAAAAATTGATTTTCACAAAATGATGAAATTTAGTAAATGGTGGATGGAGTCCTTGGATAAGCTGGGGAGAATGTACATCAAGTTGTGACGGAGGTGTGAGGCAGAGAAACAGAGCATGTGATAATCCTAGTCCAGGGCAATATGGCAAACATTGTGTTGGTGATATGATCGAGCACATACAGTGTAATATAGATCCATGCAATAGTAAGATTGATATAATAGTTATTGTAAATCTGAATCATTTTTTAGCGATAATTTGCCCGGCTTTTTCGATTTCTAAAATACATATATCTTAAGTTAAGTTAATATTTTCTAATACAAATGCATAATATATATAATTTTATGTGTATATATAGATGATTATATTATACGTTTTTTGGTTGTTTCTCATTTCAGTTACTAGTCCGTGTTTAAGTAATCCGTGTGAAACACACAGGTGTGTAGAGAAGTCAGGTGGTTTTTTATGCATATGCAGTCCCGGCTACACTGGTGATCTATGCCAAACCCCGATTGACCACTGTGAACCAAATCCTTGTGAAAACGGAGGTTCATGTCAAAATGGGGCGAACAACTTTACATGTATTTGCCCTGAATCATTTCAAGGGAATCTATGCGATGAAGGTAAATTTGTAATTTAATGCATATCAATTGATTGAAACGTTTCCTGCGTTTAACACATTTGTCAAACTATCATTTTAATTGATAGTAATTTTAAAGTAAGTGTATTTTTACCAGACAGATTCAAATTGCAACGTAAATTTTGTTCTTATACTCTCATGAAATAAAAAAAAAATGAAAAAGTATTCATTTTAATTTTGTTTTACGTTTAAGAAACTATTCCCTTATCATACTGGACGACATGGTCAAAATGTACAGTTACCTGTGGTGGCGGTGTTTCTATCAGGTCACGTGTCTGTCCGCACAATATCGGTTGCAATGAGCATATAGAGTCAAGAGTGTGCAATAACGCTTCTTGTGTAGGTAAGAAATCTTGTTATCGCTATCTTGAAGAAAAACAGTTGTTTGGTTATCCCACTTTCTGATGTTGAAAATGTAATTTAATCATATCAATTTATTTGACAATATACTTTAATAGTGACTTTCCTTAAATAATAAGGGAAGCATACAGTAACGACATAAATTTTTTTAAAACAGTTGATTTCTGCCAGTCATCGCCTTGTGGTACTAACCTTTGCGTATCAAGTGAAGAAGGGTTTAAGTGTACTTGCGATGCTGGTTTTACCGGTGTAAGATGTGATACTCCTGTAGATTTTTGTGGCGAAAATAGTTGTGAGCACGGACAATGTAGCAATAAAGCAACCGGATATGAATGTATATGTGATAAAGGATATAATGGACATCTCTGTGATGTTCTAGAAGGTTTGTAAAATGTATTTGTATCGTAGTTATTAAAAGAATAAAAAAGCTCTACTTTATACTTGCTTTTGAAAACAGTGTTTGGCTGATTTTTAATTGAAATTCAATTATACGAAGAAAGATTATTTAAATTTAACAATGTCTACGCTTTTATTATATGTTTATAAATAACACCATTTTCCTACGATGATTGCCATATTTCAATAATTAATAGGATTTGTAGGTTGTGTCTGTTTTTAGAATAAATTATTTTAGATATTGAACATCTGCTGGTAATACACGTATCTTTTAGCTACACTTATGACTGGGTTGTTGCTTTTTTTTAGAAACTGCTGGTTGGGGTTTATGGACTGAATGGAATGCTTGTAGATCTATATGTGGTTTAGGACAAAGACAAAGAAACAGAATGTGTGATAATCCACCTCCTTTACAAGGTGGTGAAACATGTGACGGAGATGAAGAAGAAACAGAAGCATGTTATACAGACTGTTATGGTACTGTTCTAAAACTTTAAATTAATATGCAAACTCTTGTCTCATGATCGGTAAAAGTATCAGTTACAAAAAGTGTAAAAAGACATGGGTTTTTTTTCTTTCAAACTACTGAAGGCTGTAGTTATCTTTAAGCATATTCATACATGGTAACATGTTTCTAAATATGATTTGTCACAAATCAAATTCTTCAAAGAAAGATTATTGACGGATTAATTGTTTGTCTGTTTTAGATGCATGCTCATCTAATCCTTGTGGAGACATACACAAATGTATATCTGATGGTACTGGGTATGAATGCCAATGTAAAGACGGATACACAGGTTTAGATTGCTCATTAGCACCTGATTATTGTCAACCAAACCCTTGTGGAAACTCTGGTAATTGTGCAAGCACGTCCGACGGTTTTATCTGTACGTGTGTTGATGGCTTCAGTGGACCTACGTGTGATATCTTACCAGGTGTGTAAACACTTTATTCAGTCAGTATGCATTAATATTTCCTTTTTATATATACATAAAAAGCAACAATAATTCTTTGCAACAATAATTCTTTGTTAAGCGGTTATCATGGAACTTTCAATGTGACACTTCCGTGCCATTCCATGAAAAGCGGCGTATGGTCCCCAAGTAATAAAAAGCCTATATTCCTAGCGAAGCCTATATTCCTAGCGATAATTAACAGTGACAGTTTATGCCTTTATACTGCAGGAAATAATATTTATGAATTAATGTTTTAATTTGAATTTAAGATAAAAGTGTTTGGGAACCATGGTCAGGGTGGAGTCTATGCAGTTTGACATGTGGTAAGGGAGTACAAAGTCGTCAAAGGGAATGTAAGCTTGGTACCAATGGAAATGAGTGTTCTGGATATAACACAGAGGAAAGAGTATGTGATGAAGATTCGTGTCCAAGTAAGATTTGCTTATATGTTAAATACGTTAAGCAAAATAATAACATTTTCATCTTTTTGTCAGTAAATTCTATATGAACAATTTATGCGTTAAATATGTATAAAGACATTTGAATATCAGGTCAGCGATATAGATGCATGTTACATTATTCTATTTCTTACTCTAGTTCACCGGTGTTTTAACTGTCTTTAATATTCGGTTCATTTACGTTTTTTCTTTAGGCATTAAATGTTTGGTCTAAATATGTTTTTTTTCCAGAAAATGATTGTGTTCTTTTTGTCGATAACACATAATTGTACTTTGTATTTCTCGACAAAATAATAAAAATAATCTTTCATTTGTTTTGCAAACAATTCAAACAATTCAATATTTATCATTTATTTCTACAAACAGTATGTCCGTTGTTAAAAAGGACATATGGAATGGTAAAAACGTGTGAAAAAACCGAAGAGGTGACCACTTGTACACTGAGATGTCTTCCTGGATATTTTCCACCAAACAGTACATATAGCTCAGAGAACTGGACAGTTGTTTATCAATGCAGTCCATTCTCCTCCTATACCTGGAATACAACTGCTATTTCACCAACATGTACAAGTAAAAATATATATTTACACATATATCAAAGCGTAAATTTCATTTAATGATAAACAAAACAATTTGTTGGCAATTTTGTTACACTAGTTCCTTCGTTAGTCTAAATTAATCAAGTAGTTTTAAATCACTTATTATTTCGCGTTCAACCTCACGGAAATTCTATTATGATCTATAATGATTAATTTAATTTTAATTAACTGATAAAATTTTGATTTTGCTATCAATCGCGACTGAAAATCATGATGTTTTAGGTATTTTTTGGTTTGTTGTTGTTTCTTTTTTTTTTCTTTTTTTTTTCAGAAACATCCGGTCGTCCACGCCGCATTGATGCTAGTGCTTCAATGGCGATTTCCCCGCAACTTTCTTGTGGAAAGTCGTCTGCGTACGAAATTTTTATACGAAATCTCGTGTATGGCTCCATCTGTCTGGGTGGGATCAGCTGTAAAGTCATCGCAGACGTAACTCAATGTGGCAACAGGAAAAGGCGCCAAACAACCGCAGATAATAGCGAGATTACATTAACTTTTGCGTTTGAGTTCGACAATGAAACTGACTCTGGTAATACAAATATATAATAGTGTGTGTTAGTAAATCAGATACGAGTATGTATCTGTATAACACAACAAATGATATTTAAGATATGTCTCTTAACATAAACTGAAAGAGACTCCTTAGATACTAATCAAGATATGGTCAAAAACAATTAAAGTACAATTTAAAGGCGTACAGTATGTGCTCCAGTAGAATACAGACATTAAGCAGATTTAACCGAAACGGTCTTTTGCTTAGGGTACAATAACAGAAACACCTTAAGTGAAAACAAGTTAGCGATTTACAGTTGTCTACCCTTGTATTCTTTATTTATTTATTCTTTTTTTTATAACTATTTATTTCTTTTTTTGGGGGGTGGTGTCATTCCAGACCATTTCAAGGGCAAATTATTCATAAAATCTCCCAAGCCTCACTTTAATTTTGCCATTATCATAAATAATTTGGATAGTTTTTAATAAAGCAGAATACATAAACGAATAACTAGTTATTAATTCTTGAATTTTTATAATCAAAGGAAGTCAGCTATATGAAAAACAGAAAAATAGGAATTGCTTCCCTTGATTTGGACATATCTGCCCTTGAAAAAACAGCATGTTCATTAGGGGATAACTTGAAAACGAAGTCTGTTATTATGTTTAAAGAAAATGCGATGTTTAAATAAATTATATTTCATATCATCCAGCCTATCACTATGTCCATATCATGACTTTAATTGTATTAAAACCGTGGTCGATTATAATTCTATTTATGAACTAAAGAAACAACCGGTTTGGTAAAAACTAACTCTAACATACACTTTGTACAATATTTCTTATATACGTAGTACTTTATTTTTGTTAAATCAGTGTAACAACTATGCTTCGACAAAAATATATTAGTATGATTCCATTGGTCACGATTTCTGATATTAAACAAGTTTGCTTTAAAGGAGCATGCAAGAGATTTTTTGCACCATTGAAAAAATGTGTTTAACTGTTCAAATTGTGTGAAAGTTAGAATTTCTGATTGGCGAATAATAGCAACATATCAGCTATTTCCGTCATTTATGGATAAGCTCTAATTAGGAATAATCGGTGAGGTGTTTCAAAATTAAAGGAGCAGCAAAATTGCGGTACACGATTCACTCGATCACCATGTAATGGTGCCTGGTGTTAATGTAGCTATCGTGTTACTGTTACTTCTTTTCGAAACATGGATAATTAAACGCTAGTCAGTAAACAAAAAAACGTTAACAAGGACATAGCCACAATAATTATATAAAAGGTAGAACTAGAATTGTAACTTTGGCTCTAAATTTTGAGAACGCATTTTTTAAACGTTAAAGTGGTTTTGGTATCAAACATACGCTAAGTGCAAGAAATATAAAGCAAAACATAGACAAAAAATATTGTTTTCTTTACCTAAGGTAACATCAATATGACAGAATACTGGGATGCAATTGAAGATTCTCTATCACCATTATCAACAAACTCTGGTGACTGGTTGTCCATTGTAATAGATGGTGTAACATATGTAGCAGATACAGCGAATATAACCAAAGGAGCGAGTCTTGAATGTAGTAGTGGATACTTTTTACAGGATGAATATGACATTTGCGGTATGTTTTACCCTTTTCTACCTTAATTTTCAAATTTACAGATCCAATTCATTTTATTCCTGAATTCATAGCACTACAAACTACAAGTTTAGCAAAATTGCAAAATTCCTTATAGGGCAACACTAAGTAACAAATACGGTTTTAAACAAGGGGCAAAGTAGAAGAGCCGAAAGCAGATTTATCTTTAACAATATTTATTGATAATAGCTTAGTAGTGTTCTAATAAACAAAATCGTAGGGGAAAATGCTGCTGATGTTGAATTCCTAGGAATATCCATCAGAGCAAATTGTAGTTCTCCATACCTTATGCCTTGATTGTCGTAACCGATATGTGAATTATGTGAAATGTGCAATAATAGCAACATATTCTGAGCATTTGTGAACAAAAGGCATGACCGGAACCAGAGTTTTGCGCTACAAAAAGCGAAAATAAGGAAAACACGGATAGGAAGACCAATCTTCGTCGCCTATTTACTACAGCTTAAAACAGGAGTAACGAGACCGAAGTTCGCGTATAGCAAAAATTAATGTATGCCATCCAAACATTCAACAGACATTAACAACCACGTGATTTAAGTCAGAAATTGACGATTTATGGGTACCATTATTGCGTTGAAAGCCATTGAGAGTATTTGAGAAAGGCGCCTTATATAGATTTAACGCCGTCTTTCACGTTGGACGTGCGCCACGATTCAGTTAGTTGCCATGGTGTTTATGGCATTTTTTTGTTGTTTGTTGACATTTGTCAAAATGTTTAAATTATATGGGTTTATAACATATTAAAATATCAAATTCGTACCTGTTTTATTTAGCTTTTAATCAATCTTGTCACAGAATATTGGGACAACCCTCGTACTTTCACTAACGTTTTGTTTGTTTGTTTGTTTGTTTGTTTGTTTGTTTGAAAACCATGCACAAATTAACAACGGTATGTTGTCTGATTTGACTTTGAATAGGGCTATAACTGACCGGAAATTTAAAATATGCTACATATAGGACAATTTTATGATGCAATAAAACATATGAAGTCTTTCGATTGAAAGGTGGCACTAAGTGTTTACAGAAAACGAAGAAGACATTGACCAGGATTAATGTATCAAATTTTTTTCGTAATTGATGCCATTATAAACCTCTGTCCTGCTAAATGTCTTAAATGAACTTTACCAGCCTCTATCTGTTACAAAATTGTTCATTATCCGTTTTGAAGATATCAGGATGAACATTAAAGGTTGATTAACCGATAATATAGAGCCTAGTCAGACTAAGTACTGGCAATAGTTTTTTCGTGTTTAACAGTATTCATATAGTTCATTCCTTAATTGTCAATGCACTTGTTGGTTCTTTGTATATAATGTTTTCCCCATTGTTAATGTCAAATAAAACATTACTACAATGACAATCATTATTTTGTTTTTTGTTGGTACCCACAGTCAAAACTTCAGTTCTGTCACAAATTGTTTGTTCTTGATAAACAAGCAAATCTAGAAGATAATGGTAGCTCTTTGGTATGCAATATTGTCTAGACATTTAAGAGGTGTCGCAGTTTTCCATTTGGTTCATTTCAAACAGTAAATAAGTCTCCAAAAAGGAGATGTCTGGAGGTCAAAGAAAACGCAATTTCAAATGTGGAAATTGTAAAAAGAAATCTTTTTCCCTTGTCTTAATACTATTTAGTTTAGGTAGAAAAATACGAACTATTCTTAACACAAGATCGCAATGTGTACATATTGTGATCTTTTGTTAAAAAAAGACAGCGTACTAACTATATTTTAAGATACATTTTCTTGCTTCAGTGTAGATAGAGTATTAAAGATGCTGTATGCAAGGAAATAAACATTAATAACAATAATTCATTGACTAACATGCTTATAAAAACATGACATTGTTTTCAACTATATGTTACTTCTATTTCTATTTCTTAAACAGTTGGTTGTTCTCCCGGCACAATGTATGATGCTAGACATGGTTACTGTATCTCGTGCCCGTTAGGGACTTACCAGGAACTCGCAGCCCAAAGCTCGTGTATATCATGTCCTGATGGCTACACGACAAACATCACTGGCAGCTACGATCAGTACGACTGCTATTGTAAGTTCGTTAATAAAGTAAGACGAACTAAAGTAAAATTAATCAAAAAATGGACTTATGTTAGAATATGCAGAATATTTGTATTATGAGATCATTCATACTACACCCTATCTAATATTTCTTTTTAATTACGTTCTCATCCCTCGAGAGGAATAAGAACAAAATTTGAACGGTAAAATCTACAGACCTGGTTTGATTGAGTCTGTTCATGAAAGTGCAATATCTCTTAAGTTGCATGTGTTATGATTTAATTAATAGTGAAGCTCGTGTTAGTTGGCATGAGCTTTGATTTCATTAACAATGGACTCGTGTTAGTTGGCATGGACTATGGTGTGAAAGTAGGCTTTAGTTTTGTTACAATAACTAAGTTGTAGTAAAATTACAATAAGCAGGTAAGCTCGTGTTATTGTGCATAAGCTTTCTTACAATTTGATTTACAATGTAGAGCTCATGTTAGTGGGCTCTAGTACTGTTATAATTGACGTTAGGGCACGTGCATGTAGGCATGAGTTCTTTTTTTAAACTAGCTTAACTAATTATAGAGGCCTTAAGTTGTGTAACTTTTGAATTAAGCTATAGAATATGTTATAAAGTAGAATATGAAAACAATAAGATTTTTTAAGATAATTTTATCATTGAGCATTTGACTTATTATTTTCACTATTTTTGTCTTTTCTACTTACATCATGTAACGATTATTCCCAGTAAGTTGACCATATTAAGGAATAGATTCTCAGGTGTGTTTATGCTGTATGTAACAAGTCATGTGTAGGTGATCTTTATTTGCACAAACATTACGTTAATAATTTTCGGTATGGCCGAATATACTAAATATTTTAGTATTCTTCCATTTCAGATACAGAGAGGGCAGCTAACAATGGTAGTATATTTTTTGGTTCGGACAGGAAAGGGAGGGATTTGGTCAAATATGTATTTTTTACAAATCTGTGGCATATATTATTAAATCACGAAACTCATTAAATGTGGATTCTTTTAATTGATAACTTATTAACGTGATACTGATATGTAAATTGTATATAAATGAACAAACAGATTAGCTGGACTCCCCTCTACTGTGTATATGTTAGTGTTCATCCGACCTGTTCTACAGAAATTAAACTTCGACGGGAGCGATAGCGAATTTCTGTAGAACAGCTAAGGATGAATACTGGCATACTTAGTGTCAAACTTAATTTGGCCTCATTATTATTAACTTAATTACGTCACTATGCGGTTTTATGAAGTACTATGAAAAATAGAAATCGACTATGGACGCAATTCGATATAGTATCGAATTTTGTTCTTCTATGAAAATTAACGCACATAATTTTGAAGAAATACAGCGTTTTCATCGGATGACAAATAAAACTGGACACTAAGAATAATTACATGTATATTCACACTTGATTTCTATAACCCTACAGGTGACGTTGAGGGTTTCTATGACGTTATTGGTGCAGTACTAGGATCATGTTTGGTTGTTATTCTTGTTGCGGTTTCTGTCGCAGTTATAGTCAAGGTGAAAAGGTACAGTTACAAATTTTACTTTACAATACATGTATACTCTCCTTTGTCATTTCATTCACCGAAGCTATTAACTTATGTTTTGCGTCCGCATTTTGCCGCGTGTCCTGGGTGAATTTGTGTTGGTCTTGTACGTGTGAGCTTGATTTTGTTGGGTGCTGCATTCTGTGAACGCCGCTATGTTCCACTGCACCCGTTTCACTGCCATTTATGATCCACCCCTTCTATTCCTCCTGTCCCCATTTAATTTCTACTGTCAAAATTCGCGTTTTTTTTCAGATTGTTCTTATTTGTTAATTGTGAACAATAATAATTTTCCCCGCCCTTCATTTTCTGTAGTATTTTGTACGCTATAACTGACTTTCAAAAAGGTCTTGTTGTACTAAATAAATATCATTGGGACTTCGTTCCATGAATATCGCGCTCCCTTGATGATCTGTTAACTCATAATTTACAGTTGCAATAACATTTTCAGGGTACATCTGAAAAACAAAATCCACGATTCGGCTGCAGATATGATTGAGAACAGACGGCAGTCACACGAGGAGATGAGGTCTCGACTGAAATCAATTGCCAGTATTCAGAGTACATCACATATACCAGTATCCGTGGAAGATATTAAATAGATTTAACAGTTAACAAAAAAGATAGGACGCATATCGTGTTTAGATACTAATAGATTTTTATTATTTTGTTGTCGACAAAAAATCAGTTATGGTGGTATGAATACTATTTTTTTTATATTGATTCCAAACACCATGAAATCGGAGGGTCATTCATAGTATTACCTTTGTCCATGTTTGTAACTGCGGGCAAATGTGCGAGTCCGAAAAAGTTCAATATTACAATAAGGGATTTAACTTAGTATATTGATAACGTTTTTTCTTAAGTTTAGCAAGGTCTTAGAAAGTATCAAAGTTGTTCACTTCAAACGCAGCTATTTCACAAACAAATGTGCACAATGTTAAAAGGGCATAATATTATAATCGTAAAACGAATTTTGCAAAATAACGCCTCCCTTTTTTGGCTTACTTTTTTTTAAATATTTTTATGCCCTTCTTAACTGTTTTTTAGTCTATTCGAAAAAAAAAAAAAACAATTAAAGGTACTCACTTCAAAGTAGGAAAAGTACCAATGGTTTTAAAATAATTTTCTGAGATACATGTATCACGATTGTTAAACAGTTCTAAGTCACAATATACTATTTGTATACTACATCATAAAATACATGTATAACAAGAGCATTGAATTGAAGTTTGTACACAGAAACTCGTACTTTAACATTTTTTAAAGTTAACTGAATTATGGACAAATATTGCAGGACATTTCTCTCCTTCACGAAGAATGAATGATAATGGTCTCTGTTGTATTTGAAAAAACTAGATGTAATTTAAAGGCCCATTTATAAAAAAGAATCATATTATTTTTGGTGCCCTTTTACGGTTTTATTGACAACTCCACCAACTTTTGCTTATTTAGTACAGCTATCATGTTTATGTAATCTGCATGGAATACTACTTTGTTGCATTTTCCTACTTTTTTGACAAATTATTTAACATCCAGTGCTTCTTTCTTCAGATGATACATGGAACTGCCAAACATGTTCTAAATTCGTTATATTAGGAGCATAAAACACACGTTTGACTATTCTGAAAAAGGAAAAATGTACTCATTTCTTAGCGTTAATGTGCTTAGTTTTCTTGTTTTGTTATTTACTTTGCTTTATTGTATATTTTGTTATAATGTTCTTGCATATAATTAACTAGTTTTTTTATTACTCTTTCTATTTGCTTCAGATTTATCGTAGTTCCGTCCAATAAATGTAGCTTTAGCCAAAAAATAGAAATATTCAGTTAAAAGTTTAATTAAATAAAGGTATTTCGTTAAACTGTTAAGTTGTTATTGCTATAAAATATACTAATAGGAAAAAAAGTATGGAAACACCTCGTATATTTATACATGTATTTATATACTGCTGCATTTTGTCAAGTGATAACAAGACTGACCGGTACTTTTTTAATCAAAGCATGTAATCAAGTATGGTTCCAGGAACTGATCCCTCCTCATACCAGAATGTCGCAAATATACGGGTGGACGATTTAAGTTCTATAATTGATAGAGCATAAAACTACTCGCTAAGGGCACTTATAAACACTGCTAGATTATCAAATACCGACATATTTTGCTGCATATGTTTTTAGTACTAGTGACGTTTGTTGAGCCTTGAATGTCAAACAAATTCGTGTGCAACTTAAAATTTTGTCATACTTTAGCCTGCATAAGTATGACTAAGCAAACTACTTTTTCATGTTCTCTTATGTAATGTTTAGTTATATACGTTGACCATTATCACTTTCACACAACACTTTCAATTCTTATTACGATGCGCATTTTGTGTGGCAAATGAGGTTATTACCACTAAATACCAACCCTTGAAAAATTGAAAAAAAAAACCTTAAAAACTGGTTAATTTAATAAGGATATTATTTCAAAGAAAAATTCATCTGGTGACAATCTACCAATATTGTTCAAATAGTCCTGTTACTATGAACTGTAATGTAAATAATTTGCTGTCTCAGAAATTTTCTCCCCTCAAAGTATTTGGGGGACACAGTGTAATGTTAAGTATTATAGCATTAAATCGGCTATTTTACCCTCTTTTGCCCATGTTATAACGGGACCAAAACCATGTGTTAACATAGTCACGCGCTCTTGTTATAGCCCGGTTTCACCTATGCGCAATACATACAGGGCCCAGTAAACAAACAAACAAAAAATGACGATTTGGCCTGTTTGCCAAAGAGTCATGCGCTCTTGTTATATTGAAATTTATTGATTCGAGGGCCTCAGTCGCATATTCAAGTAACGATGCCGGAAAAACGGCGTATAGACATCGGTGCTAATCTTAGTTGTCGCCCTTTCTAAGAAACGGACAGTTGTCAATGTAAACAAATACCCTGTTTGCAGGTATTCTCGCGGTACTAAGGAAATAAAGTCATATAATGACAAACAAAATATTTACCTTGTTGTTCTTTCCTTTTCTTCATCCAAGTTAACCAATTATTGATTTATTTACATGAAAAAAATCGATATAAAACATTTCAATTTTATTTTCCGCCATTTTATAAACAGGTACCCTGACCTTGACCTTTGAAAAGAAGTTATTTATATTCTCGCGGTAAAAATCTATACCATACAGTAGGCTTTCAGCAAGTCAAAGATGTATAAACTACCTAATGCAATTAACTGAACAATAACTGTACTAAAAGTTTCAACAAGTGTGACTTTATAATTAATGCAAAAACATGTCTATAATCAAATTTGTCTGAGCACAAGGTAAGTTGATTTGTAATATTTCCTGTCACAAGAGTTATTCTTCAGTTACACAATGTGGGCATCTGAACACAGTAGCCCTTCTTACTACTGTAATTGGTGTACAAAATCTAAGATGTACCCAATGAGAGCAAAAATTACACTGAGCCCACTTTGTGAAGACAATACTAACACAATGCTTGAGTTGGGTGGGTGTGTAAAGCTTGCAGACACAACATTTGTCTCTCTCTTCTATCTCAATATCAGTATCACTGTCTGACATAGGTGCTGGAGAGTCCAAAGAAATAGGTACCCCTGTCTTAGATGTTCCAGATGTGCTAGGAACTGGTTCTTCATGCTCCTTACTCTTCCTCTGCTTCTTAGACGGTGTTTGTATGGGATTTTTTTGTCTATTTTGAACAGTTTTCTCAGATTTGGCACCCTTAGACTTCCTTTGATTTTGCAGAATATGTGTATTTCTTTCATTTAACAGATTTCCCATTATGTATGGTGGAATGAATTTTTTCTTAGGTCTTTGTTTGACAGTGTTAATTTGTCTCTTTGCAAAGAAAGTGACAGATTCATCATACAAAATGGTTTCTTGCGAGTCAGAGGGCTCTTCTGGTTGCTGTGGTGCCTTTTCGGTTGATTCAACTTGTGTATCCAGTCCCTGGCACTGATCATGATTTTCACTGGAATAAATTGATGAAGGTGCAGTGTCACTCTTGGAAATTTGAGACTCATCAAATGGATATATTCCTGATTTTTTGAAAGCTGATGTGATGTTTGATGGAGAGAAAGCTTTCAAGTACGGCTTAGAAGTTAGTGAAGCAATTTCATATTTGGTGATGTATACACCCGGGTTATGCTGCAAATACTGTTGACACTCAGTGTAGTAGAAGGCTTTGAATGGGCCATAAACACCAACATCCAGTGGTTGCGTGAGATGACTGGTATGTGGGGGAAGTACAAAGAGGACAACATTCCTCTGTCTAGCCCACTCATTCAAAGTCAACGATAAATGACTTTTGTGTCATACAGGATCAATGTGGCTGGTCTATCTGAAGAGACAGAATCAAGGTTACAGTGCTTCGCAAGATGTCTCGTGACATAATCTTCAAAAATTTCACCATTCACCCAACCACTATCTGACATTGTACCATCTGCACCAGGTTGAGCACCTTCCATGAACTGAGAATTAAACCTTTTCCCAGGGAATATATAAAAAGGAGGCACATGATTTCCAAGGGCATTTGCTCCTCCTATTATTGTTACATTGGAAGATCTTGGGGAGGTAATTGCCTGAGGTTTATCATTTTTCCCACAAACTATTTTAGGTGGTGAGTGCTGGGTGCTTACTCCTGTTTCATCTATATTATAGATTCTTTCAGGTGAATTGATTAAGTCATTGTCATCTAATATATTCTTCAGTTTTTTGAAATAGTTGTTTATTTTTTCTTCAGAGGCACCTTTAGCTCTGGCCAAATCAAGCTTTTGAGGCTTGACAGCTTTCAAGTCTGGGTTTCTTTTCATGAAACTATAGTACCACACAGTACTTAAACCATCCTTCGCAACAACTTTCTTCCCCATTGACCTGGCATAGTCAGCAGCCATAAATCTTATGTTGGTCATGGTGTAGCCATATCCGATACTGGCCATATACTTTATATGATGTGCTAACTTGTCCTCCTCCAGAGAAGACAATAGAGTCTCTGGTCCAGGACGTGCCTCAAGGGTGACATTATGTCTAGTCCTGTCTCTCAAAGTAGACTCCGGGACATGGTACACTCTAGATGCCCGATAAACAGACATGCCATTTGAAACACAAGCTGCATAGGCTCTCTTAAGGCTTTCCTTGTCATATGGCTGCTTAAGCCTGCTTTGGGACCCCTGAAAAAAAAAAAAAAAAAAAAACTATGGTATGGTATAGGTTTTGAAGTTTTAGGCAACAACAACAACAACAAATGGAGTCCTGTCAGCAGACGGAAGATGTCAATCTTAAAATGGAGGAAAGTTACCAAAGAATAGACATTTTTGTGAATGATTTAGTTAAAGTTTTGCATTTACAAGGTAAATTTTGTGATTTACTTACCTTTAGTCGGTTCATTACTGTAAAATGTTACTCAAAACACTGCTGAATAAAAGTAGGTCACAAATATTTACTATAGATGGCGCTGTGATTCAACCTCGTGAAAAATAAAAATAACGCGAGAATAGATTTAACGCGAGAATACCAGCAAAGAGTATACAGTAGAATCTACCTGTCATTCAGTTTAACACTCCGATTAACTTACAAAACTAGATAACACAAAATTAATATGATAACATGTTTTTTATTTATGTTAATGTTGATAAATGCTCTTTATATTTCTTTGAGAGAATAATGTTTAGTGCCTGATTTTTTTATAAACTTGTTTGCTTGAAAAAGAAAACGATTCTGATGTCACTGATCTTTTTTCTACCGTCAATCTGAAATCATTCTAAGAATTTCTGAGGGTCATGTTTTGTCTTGGGTAGAGGGTAGAGTAATGTAACGTTTTTTTTCATGAGATAATAAATCTCCAAAGGCCAAGCTTTAAATTTGTTAAATCAATTAAAATTCAAAATTTCGTTCGGTTCCGAGAATTTTCCAAGTTGTTGGCCCCGGAAAAATGAAACGCATACGTAAAACATAGAATTGGATAAATACCGTCCAAGCACAAGAATTTAATGGAATTGTGTTTTGTATAAACTATACGTCACGAATCTGTTTGAAAATTTTATGCTATAATAGCGTCAACGCACGTTTATTTCGTGTTATAAAGTCTGCAGAGTCCCTCGGAACTGTTGGAGCCCTCGCCCTACCGGGCTCGGGCACCAACCGTTCCTCGGGACTCTGCAGACGTTATAACACGGAAAAACGTGCGTTAACCCTATATTCTTAACTCACCCCTTGGCTAGCTTTTACTATTGTTCATTATCTATACAATTTTGTTTAATTTGAAAAATTATCGGGAAATTTCATTATAAGTATTAATCACATACATGTGCCAATTTTGCCGCTCCGTTAAAACGGTGTTGCATGGTCATGCATTTTTTACGTGACGTCATTTGCGTTATACAAACATAGTGTAAAAACGCGCTAAATGTTAGTGTTACACTATAGGCGCATCATTGAAAAATGATTCTTTTTCACTTTAAACACTATATTTTGTGCATGTGATAAACAGAATATTATATCCATGTGAGTGCAATACTGAATTTATTGAACTTATTGAATAAAATAGTATATCATGCTCGCCAAAGGCTTGCATAATATAACTTTATACAACTCATTCAATAAATTCAGTATTGAACTTTCACTCATTCAATATCCTCTTTTTAGTAAGACAATGTAGTGAGCGAATTACACTAAAATTGATACAGGACACATTAAACACGGCATGGTGGCCAACTCTGATAAACTTAGTAAGAGGACCGTGCTATCTCCTACCACAACCAAAAAACATATTAAAACTGGAACACAAACCAGAAATGAAATATCCGTTGACAAAAACAAATCTGATTGCTTTCGATATATCAGGGCAGCCCTTCGAAAGCAAGGAATACCACAAGTCGCTCAAGAACTCATTATTAAATCTTGGCGTGACAGCACAAGAAAACAAT